TTCTCATTGTTTTCCTCTGTCTGCATCCTCAAGCTAGTAGCTGACTTAAATTGAGCCAGGCTTCTTATGGCCCTCCCCCCCCCCCCGCCTTTCCCCCACTTTTTTTGGCAACATAATGTTGATACCTTTGATTGGAACCATTTTTAAAACAGTTTTTACTTTTTCAGATTACCTAAGTAATATACACCCTTTTTAAAAAAATTAGTAAAATAATAAAACAATAAGTTATCATCTCTCAGAGATAACCATTGTTAATAGTTTGGTTTTTTTCCCTTTGCATAATCTGTCTTATTTGCTATCATAAGTATTAAATGTTTTTCTTATTATGGTAATAAATGCCTGATTGCACCTCAAGAAGTCATAATCCTTAGCCATTTCAGAGTTTTTAATAATGGGTCTAAAAATTCTGAGAATGTACAAATATAGGACAAAAAATAATTTAATAAAAATAAGCACACCCTGAATAATGGATAAAAGTTATATATTCAGCAAGTAATCATTAAATGTGAAAAAATGGGGAGCAAGAGATAAAACACAATAAAGTGCTGATTTGAATAGAATCAAGTGCCCTTTGTAATTCATTGAGTTTATGTCTTTAGTTTTGATGCTAGAAATCTCAAAACTAAGTTTTTTGCACAAGTCCCCCTTACTAACATTGTAATTTTTTTTTTTTGACCGGTAAGGGGTTCGCAACCCTTGGTCTGGTATCGTTCGCACCATGCTCAGCCAGTGAGCTCATCGGCCATCCCTATATAGGATCCGAACCTGCGGCCTTGGTGCTATCAGCACCACACTCTCCCGAGCGAGCCACAGGGCCGGTCCAACATTGTATTTTTAATTCTGTGTTAATGGGTCAGTTATAGTATTTGTGGGTTTTTTGTTTGTTTTTTGCCTTTTGGCCAACACTACACCTTTATATAATCAGCAGCGTGCTCTAACCAACTGAGCTAACCAGCCAGCTAGTATTTGTTTTTATTGTAAGCTGCCTCAACACCTTCCTAGAATCAAGGAAGGTATAAATATGCAAGTGTAAAAAAACAAATGCCAAAAGTCTGTGGTAATGGCAAGAAGGAATAACAACTGTCCTCGAGTAAAGGAGATCAATATTTGACTAGAATTGTTGGGAAAGGAAGTGGTGCTTGAAGGATTGCTGCTGTTTAAATTCAAAGAAGTTAGAAAAGGATCCTTTCAGGTGAGAATGTGAGCAAGAGATGCTAAGGAAAGAAATGCACAAAACTTTCCCTAATGCCCCTAAAACCTTTCTGTAATACCCCTTCCCCATTGGGGGAAACCAAGAAAATTAATGGGAGTTGGCCATCTCCTTCCGGTGTGTCAGAGCTAAAAAGAAAAAAATGTATGCCTAAGGAAGATGGGATGAATCAGGGTTTTTAACAAAGAGTAGGCAGATTTGTGTTTTAGAAAGTTGGTGTGAAAGACTAATAGGAGAATTTAGGGTCAGTTTTTCAGCTCTGTGGTTCTGCTTCAGATTTATTTTCTTGACTCTTCCTCTTTCTCTTTCTCTCTCTTCCTCCCTCCCTCTTTCTGTTTCTCCCTCATTCCTTCTCTCCCTCTCTCTCTCTCCCTTTCTCTCTCTGACGTCAGTTTTTCAGCTCTGTGGTTCTGCTTCAGATTTATTTTCTTGACTCTTCCTCTTTCTCTCTCTTCCTCCCTCCCTCTTTCTGTTTCTCCCTCATTCCTTCTCTCCCTCTCTCTCTCTCCCTTTCTCTCTCTGATGCACACTCCTATCAATTGCTTTAATTATTTGTTTAAATATGTTTGCTCATGGGTCTCCCTTATCAGATTAAATGAGCGAAGGTGGAAAATTTATTTCAGAGAGATGGCACCTATTATAAGTTGTAGCAAAATAGGGGTTTAAAAGAATAGTTCATAGTACTGTTGTTAAATGGGTTGTTTAGAGAACTTGGATGTGACTTTTAATATCACTGAATTCTTTATAACAGTATCACAGGAAAGGCATCCTCACTTTTCAGTATCCATATAAAATAATAGAATATAGTACCAGTGTATTAGTTATAGTTACTTTCTGTAATTTGAATCTAACTAATTTATGGAAATAACCTGAATAACATAGCTTGCTCAAGTTTGAGTTGAATAAGGAAGATTTTCTTGTGTGCTCTTCTTTCACGTAAATCAAGGTAATTCATTGAGGTAGCTCCTTTTGGAACTTATGTGGGCATTAAAATGATCCGTTAACATTTTTGTTAGATATTGAATGTACCTGTATGATCCTAATGAAAGGCAGTAGCTTTCCTGTATAATTTATCAGATAAGTGCAAAAATTATGGCAGGACATCATAAATACTTTTAAATATTTTGACTGATTAACAACTGAATTTTGACTGAATAATGGGTGTGCCATTAAAACTTCTTTCCTTCCCTTGGGGAGGTCATCTAGTCCCCCACCCTTACCCCCAGTTTTAATCACCGAATCTATATAGACTAATGACCCCCACTGCAGGGGAGTTAATATCCCTGGATTTTCATCCTGGTTCTGACACTTAATAGTTGTATAACCTTGTGCATGTCACTAATATCTTTGAACCTTAGTTTCCTTATCTGTGGACTGGGGATATTAATATCCCTGTCCCACAGTTGTTGGGAGGCAGTATATATGAGTTGAGAAAATCCCAAAACACAGTATAAGGATAGGGTAGTATATTTATATTCCCTTTTCTCTGATTCCCTATTTCTTTCTCCCTATAGGATTTCTCATATCTAAATAATATCTTTAACAGCCATTAAATCTAACAGCTTAAATCTTTTTAAAGATTGTTTACTTATTTTACATTGTCTTCTATCTTATTATTATTCCAGTTTTAAAATTTCCATTTTATAAGGGGCCAGAATGAATGGCAGTAATTGTACTGTTTTGTGAAAGGTCATTGATATTTATTGTAAAATTTTAATTTATGGCCAAAAATGAAAGTGTTGACATTGTTGTTATCAAGAGGGTAACTGGTGGATCATGTACTTAAAAAAAATTTTAACCTCTTTAACCTGTACCTTTCATAGCCCTTTCCATCATCATCAGATTCTGCTGATCCTTATTCTTGCATTTCCTGGATCAGCTGCTCTTTTTTCTTCTCAGCCGGGATCCCTTACCTTGGACATGAGTGTGTTTTCTTACGTCTTTCCTGTCTTTAGCCATTTCCTTTTTAATTATATTCTATATATAACCTCAGCTATTATACTGAATTTATCTGTGTTTTTTATTTAATGCTTGCTGTTGCTAGCATTATACTATGTGGGCAAAATAAGTACTTAGGTATTTGCTAGAAATTTCTTATATTCTATTTTTACTCCAAATTCATTATTTAAGGAAGAGATGCCATCTTGATTTTAGTTATTACTAATTTTAATTAAATATTAATGCATTTCCCCAATTTACTAGAATGCCATATATTGAGTTGTGATTGCTCAGGGACAAGAAAGTCCTTCATACTTATGATTTAAAGTCAACAGTTTATATCCATTTCTGCCCAGCCAGAAAAAAGTTCTGCTACGGAGACCTCATCTAGCCTATCATAAATTCTGACCACAGCGGTAGCCCTTGACCAACTGGTTTTATCTCTTATCTAGCTCACCGTACTGCTAATTTATCTGGTCTTGGCCCCCTTACTTGTTTTTTCTTGTTCACTGTAGCCTCCTGGTTCCCAAAATAGGTTGGATAAGCTAAGGATCCATGTTTGCTTTCTTTACAATTAAATTGGCAAAGTGTTTATTTTGTATTGGAATAGTAGATAGGCTGAAGAAACGAAATCAGTTCAAAGCATTGACCTTCAGAACAGAAGGATCAAAGGAATGTTAATCTGTACCTTGAAAACTATATGCAGTTGTGTGTTTGTGTGAGAGAGAAACAGAGTATAAAGCAGGGACACTTCTGTTTTCTTTCTGCCATGATTAATTTGTCATTTGATTTGGCAAATGTATTAAATGCCTCTCAGGTCAAATCACAAAGTGCTATAGAAGTTGTAAAGACTGGCTACATCCTTTCCAAGAAGGGGATTACAGAGTGAGTTAAAGTAAAAACTAGTAAAACAGTGAAAAACTGTAGGAGCTGTACATAAATATGAAAATGCTGTGGAAGCATGGAGACAGGAACAATTTAATTTCTTAGGGTTGAAGAAGCATTTAATCAAAGAAGGCGGGGGGCATTTGTCTCTCAAGAAGTAGGATTTATTGAGTAGGAAAAGAAGGATCATTTTGAGTAGAGGGAGCAGCATGTGTAGAGGTATGAAATTGCAGCCCTGTGAAGGATAGCAAACAGCTAAGGGTGGCTGGGATGTAGATGTGGCTGGGTGAGATTTGGTTTAGGAGGAGGCTAGAAAGGTAAGTTAAAGCTAACATAGAAAGCAATGTAAAATGCCCCATAAGAGTTTAAAGTTGATTTTGCAGGCAATAGAGAATCACTGAATGCCATGATCACATCTGTTTTAGGAAGCTACTTCTGGTAGCCGGTAGGGGTTAAATTGGAGAAGTGAGAGTGAAAACACATTGTTTAGAGTCCTCTTGCAGTAGCCCAGGTGACAGATGATAATGACATTTTTCTGGTCCCTTTTCTTCTAGTTTATAATTTACAGTTTTTCATTCTTTTAATTTATTGTGAGACTTAAATTTTCAGGAAGTTGTACATTGATTTATCTTATAATATTTATAACATTAGGACTGTAACAAAGGCTTTGTGCAATCTAGACTTTGAGATTTGAACATTTAAATACTTTGTCCTGTCCAGGCTTTGTAGTATGACCCTTGGGCACATTTGTAAGTTCCACTGAACTTGTCTGTTTATGTGTAAAAATTGGAATAGTAATACCTATCTCAGAGAGTAGTCATGAGTATTGAAATGACAGTATTTAAGTGCCAGACACATAGTAAATACTAACAATTGGTGTTAATTTCCCCTATCTTTTTTACACCATTTTAAATTTGCTAAAATGGCTGTAGTGGGGTTGGATGATGGGATTATGTGGCAAAATAGCTTTTAAAAGTTTGAATCCTAAAAAGCCACTGGAGCAGATCATTTCCTTCCTGTCAGGCCTGCATTGCTCTTTGTTGTAGGTTTAATCCATTTCAGAGGGCCACAAGAGCCCCTCAAATATGCTTCTGCATATAATGGTTTGGGCTGTTTCACCTTTTCTTAGACCAGAAGTGTATTAAAAATAGGGATTTTATATTTTTCTGTGGCAATCCTATGATTAAATTTGGCTCTATGTTAAGTAATAGAGCTTTAGAGTACATTTTAATCAGAGATAGGTCTGGTCCCTATTTGAATATTTTCTGTTCTGATAAAGACTTCCTCCTTCATTTTTCCACTTAAATATCTCATAAACATCTCAAATTTTACACATCCCTTGTAAAACTCTTGATTTCCATGCCCATGCTACCCTCCTCAAACTTGTTCTTTCCCAGATCTTTTACATTATTTTAAATGACACCATCTTCCATCTAGTTATTTATGCCAGAAACCTGGAGATTGTCCTTGCTGCTGCTTTTCCCCAACTTCCTCATGCAGTCTAATCTTGTTGGTTCTCCTTAGAAAATATTTATTCCTCCCCATATCCATGTTCACTACTTTAGTCCAAACCACTGTCATGTCTTGACCAGATAACTTCAGTAGCTCCCGTTCAATTTATTTTTCCCCACAGCCAACAGTGATCTCTAAGTATTAATATGTATCCTCTGTACCCAAAACAATACTTGATGTATGTGGTGGGCACCCAGTAAGTTTTTTGAATATTTTAAATTTATTAAAATTTCTCAGTGACTCTATATTGCCTACTTCTCTATCCTTCTCTTGCAACTCTTTTTTTTTTCTTTCTTTCTTTGGCAGATTTTTTTTTGGGTAATGCATACTGATTTCAAATCCTATTTGACTTTTTTTATCCAAGTATTTCAAGATAATGATGAAGTTCTAATTTACAGAATGTGCATGCAATTCAAGAACAGTCACCTTGCAGCTGGCTTGGATGCCACCAAAAAGGCACATAAGCATAAAAAGGACAGAAGTATTTGATATATGTGCAGTTAGAGATTCAGAATCACTACCTGGGACTGTGCCTTCTTGGATGACTAGAGTGGACTGTAGATTGAGCTTCTTGGGTAGCAGCTAGCTATCTAAACCCCTAGCAACTCCAAGGGCACTGGCATTGTCCGAACATTGCTGCTGGAGTAGATATTCAGGTGGTAGAGTACTTCCTTGGCTGTGATCAACTCATCTGTGGGGAATTGATGAGTTGCCACCTGTAGGAAACGTGATGCTCTTCTAGACTTCTGCTTACTATACCCTCCAGGGGGCTTGGACAAGGCTATTTTATGTCATAGATTACTAACGCAAGGATGAAGGCTAAAGAGTTCGTATCTTAAGGTGTATAATATAGGAAGCTCTTGCCTAGATAGTATGAGATATATGAGATGCTAAAAAAAAGAAAAAAAACCCTCTTAGTTTGTAACTTCCTCCAGTGGCTTTCCAACACACTTAGAATAAAATCCAGATTCCTTATCGTGGCTTACAAACCTCATCTCACTTTATTTACCATTCTTCCCTGTACTTGCTATACTTTTCCTCAGATATGCCAAGCTCTTTTTCCTTACTGGAATGCTCTCTTTTTCCCACCCCCCCAATCTTTACAAGGCTGGCTCCTTGCCATTTAGATGGTTGCTTAAAAGTACTTCCTCAGAGATCTTCCTTACTACCAAGTCATATTCTGTCACATCAGTCTGTTTTTCATTGCAAGGACTTTTCTGTAACTAGAACGTAATCTCCTTGAGAGCCAGGCCTTTTCTATACTATTACCTGCTCTATTCACAGAGTTCAGAACAGTATCTGACACATGGTAGGCATTCAACAAATATTTGTTGACAAAGTTTGTTGAGGTACTTCTTAAAAAGACCTGAGTTCTGCTACTATTGATATTGACAATGAGAGTCTACCAATGAGAATTTGGGTAAATGATGCAGGGAAGTCCTATATTTATTTACTAGGTTGGGAGGAAATACAAAGGTCATGAATGAATAAAATTAGCAAATATTTTAAAGCAAAACTGCTTCTCTAAGTAAAAGTAATAATCTGTTTAATCTTTATTAAATCAAATTCATTTGAGGAGTGAATTAACATCTCAAATATTAAAATGTCTCCCCCCCTCCTTTTTTTTTTTACATAGTCATCTCAGCAAAACTTAAAGAAAATAAAAAGAATTGGTTTGGTCCAAGTCCTTATGTGGAAGTCACAGTAGATGGACAGTCAAAGAAGACTGAAAAATGCAGTAATACAAACAGTCCCAAATGGAAGCAACCTCTTACAGTGTAAGTTTCAAAGTATTTTCTACAGTGTATTGCTTAGTAGGTGAGCAGAAATTCAACTCTTCAAAAAGTTTCTCACTTGTTTTCTTTGCTCCTCCTTTCTCACTCTTTTTTTCCTCCTTTTTTCCACTGTTATTAGGACTCCTTTCTCTAGTCTCCTTTTTGTTTATATCTTTCGATGTTTTCCTCTCTGTTTTTCCAGTCTCTCTCTTTCTTTATCTTCTGCAGTTTAGTTGGTGATGGGATCACTATTGCTACTGACCAACAGCGGGGAGAGCCCATGGTCATGGGTCCAGAAAGATTCGTACCAACCCTTTTCTTAACTTGGGGTTGAATTAGGGGGTTATAAGTAGTTCACTCTATTTTTTTAACCTAATTTTAAAAAAGTTTTTGTTTTAAATTAGTGTCCACACAAACCAACATGGGTTTGTTTGGTCTTTTTTTCTATTTTAAAAAGGTTATACTATACATCATATTCTACAACTTTGTTTTTGTACTTAATACTTGTATCATGGTTATCTTTCTCAGTACATACAGATCTAACATCCCTTATGAAGCTATATAATATTCCGTAATATGGATGGACTATGATTTATTTCAATAAAAACTATTGTTCCCTATTAATTGGTTAGTTGGTTATTAGAGTTGTGCTGTTAAAACAGTGTTGCAGTATACATCCATGTGCATATGTCTTTATATGTTGGTGTTTTTTATCTGTAGTATGAATTCATAGAAGTTGGATATAGCTTAATTTCAACACTTATTGATGAAGCTGCAAATGTTAGTATTATAACCTAAGATATTGAACACTCATTAAAAGTAATTACATGTTAATTTTAATTTTGAGAATTAAAATAGAAGAAAAGGCATGATTTATCAACAAATTTTAAAATAATATAGTATATTTGTTTTGGGGACCAAATGTGTATTAAAATGTAGTTAAAAGTGTAACTAGTTGTTACCATGTTATATATAGACAATTGCTTTCATTACGTGATATTTGTAATTCTTGAATTTTTTTCCCTTAGAGAAATAATCTAGTGATTAAAAAACAAAAGTTTTATTTCTAAATGGTGAGATGAGACATTTGAAATTATAAGCTCTTCTCTTCACATAATACATACTTCTGTAGATTGTACTTATTCCTAATAAATGACAAAACAAGTTGATATACCTATATCTCTAACATGGATTTTTAAAGGTCTAGGGGCAACTTGATGTGCTTTATAGTGATTTTGAGCAAGTGAATGAAATTTAAGAACTTACTGAATATTATCTTAAGGCCCATTTTCAGAATTACCATTCTGATGCTGTTCATCTGTTTATTTCAACATTAATGTTTCTTAGGCTTTTGTTTTTAATTAGTGGTCCATTATAGATTGTCTAAATTAAAACCTTTTGAGTTCTTTCTGCAGTCTTTCTGTGCCATCATAATGGTGTGCATGAATGTCCTGGCCGATGCTCTCAAGAGCATCAACAATGCTGAAAAGAGAGGCAAACTCCAGGTTCTTATTAGACCTTGCTCGAAAGTCATCATCCGGTTTCTAACCATGATGATGAAACATGGTTACATTGGCGAATTTGAAATCACTGATGATCACAGAGCTGGGGAAATTGTTGTGAACCTCACAGGCAGGTCAAACAAGTGCAGAGTGATCAGCCCCAAGATTTGATGTGTACAACTCAAAGATCTAGAAAAATGGCAGAATAATCTGCTCCCGTCACGTCAGTTTGGTTTCATTGTACTGACAACCTCAGTTGGCATCATGGACCACGAAGAAGCAAGACAAAAACACACAGGAGGGAAAATCCTGGGATTCTTTTTATAGGAATGTAATACATATGTACAAATAAAATGCCTCAGTGGAAAAAGTAATAATAATAATAATAATAAATTTTTTGAGTAAAAATTTAAAAAAACAAGTGAAATGTATAAAAGGTCACAGCCTCCATAATGGCCAGAGATGTTCAGCTGGATAATAGACTAAATTCTCATCTAATTTCCACCAACTGCTGTCAGTGCTCACTAGATATGTACTTTGAGGCTCTTATGCTGTTGATGCCATGAACTCCCTAGAGGTTTAAAAGTTAAGAAAAAAGGAACTCCTTGTAGTTTTATATAGTAGTTGTTGTGGTTGAACCCAGATGTTTGGGAACTTAAGCTCAGGTTCTTCTCCTGAATTTTTAAGTTGCAGCAGACTGACCTTTTTAAACACTGATTCCATTGTTATATAGCAGGCTTTACAGACTACTGTCTAGAGTTGAACTGAAGTAATTTAAATAAGACCGCCTTTGACAGTATACTTTATGTACCCTCTCTCATATTAAAAAAAAAGTGAAGTTAAATTTATTTGCCTTTTATTTCGTCCCTGTTATGATTTCCCAGTTGAGTAATAGACAAATGCTTTCTTAATGTAAGTAAGATATATACTGTGTGCTCTCCTGAAAGTAGCATCTGAGAATTTTTAAAGGAAGAAAATGAAAACATTGTATTCTCCAAAACTGGGGGGGCAGGGGAGGGCATGATAGTGAAAAAATTTTAATTTGTTTAAACTACCTACTGCTATTTATAAAATACATAAAAATTTGTAGTTTGTTTTAATGGTGGTGGAAATATGATGATAGGGTTAATAGGCATAGGTAAACTTCTGAGAAGGAAAGTGGTTCTTTGTCCCCCCAAATTTGATCACATTTTAGAGAAAATGAGGTATAGAACAGTCAGACATTTCTGGAATTTGTCATTTATAGCATTGAACCCATAGGACTATGATAGATTATTTAGTGCTATTTTTCTAATCTTTGATTCTAAAATAGTTTGTATGTTTATTGCAAATTCAAATTTCCCACTTTGGGCCGGCCCGTGGCTCACTCGGGAGAGTGTGGTGCTGATAACACTAAGGCCACGGGTTCGGATCCCATATAGGGATGGCTGGTTAGCTCACTGGGTGAGCGTGGTGCTGACAACACCAAGTCAAGGGTTAAGATCCCCTTACCGGTCATCTTTTTAAAAAAAAACAAACAAACAAATTTCCCACTTTGCTTTGGAAAATACCATTACATAATTTGTGTGTGTGTGTGTGTGTGTGTGTGTGTGTGTGTGTGTGTGTGTGTTATGGGCATCTGAACCCTTGACCTTGATATTATAAATACCATGCTCTACCGATATTATAAATACCATGCTCTACCCAATTGAGCTAACTGGACAGCCCTGGAAATACCATTACAGATAGCATTTCTGATTGGCATTTAGCAGGGTATGAGTGACTCTGTATTTGGCAATTGTCTTGGACACTTTGCCTCTAGCAGTGTGAAACTTGATGTATCTAATGTAATCCTGAAGTCGTTATATAGCTGACCAAGGAACTTTTTAATATAAATCTTAATAACAGACATTTGTTCAAAGTACAGTTCTGCCACTTACTGGCTGTGTGACCTTGGGCAATCTGCTTAACCACTCTGAATACCAATTTCTGTACCTGAAGGATGGGAGTGATAATTCCCATCTCATAGGGTGACTGTGAGGATTAACATCAGTGAAATAACATCAAGCCCAGCAAACTACCTGACATAAAAATATAAGGACTTAATTTATAAATCCAGTCTTTTATACTACTAAAGAAAACTAGTTTTCTAACATTTTGTTTTATGATAGGCAGTTTTAGTTTTGTTGACAGGATGTGCGTGAAGCTGCCCCTGTAGTTCAACCACAAATGAAAATGACCAGGCAAGCATGTAGCATTCAGATACAGTTTTCATAAGATTAAAGAACATAAGCCCATATTGGTTGTACAGTAAACTATAAGGGGTGTAGTGAGAAGACTTTAGACATTAAAACTTAATTGTAATTTATTTAGGATCTCATTGTGATATTTAATAATATTTTCCCCCTTTTTTCACTTTTAGTATCGTTACCCCTGTGAGTAAATTACATTTTCGTGTGTGGAGTCACCAGACGCTGAAATCTGATGTTTTGTTGGGAACTGCTGCATTAGATATTTATGAAACATTAAAGTCAAACAATATGAAACGTATGTATGTAAGAGTAATAGAAATTATACCTAGCTCTTTGTTTTTCTGAAAGAAATTCATATGCCAAACATGTGGAATGACTCATGTTCACTCATTCCCTTTAGTTTACTTGGTTGTAGAATTAATAGGGAAAAGAGTCTTGAACTATGTAAGGCATTTCAAGTAACCTTGGTTTGGCCATTCATTTTGGATCCAGTATTTTTAGTAAATATTTATTTATTTACTTAGTAAGTAGATATTACTAAAGTAATACATAGTCAATTATGGAAAAACTAAAATATAGAGCAGAGATGAAGGAAAAAATGTAGTTGCACTTCAGAGAGACAAACGTGCGGTAATATTTTGGCAGATTTTCTTTTCAAATTGTTATTTTATTTATTTATTTATTTATTTATTTATTTTGTCTTTTGTCTTTTTCCGTGTCCGGCAACGGATCGCAACCCTCAGTGTTGCCCCCGTACCGGACCGGGGACCGGCAACGGGATCGCAACCCTCGGTGCTGTGTCCGCTCCTCGCTCAGCCAGTGAGCGGGAACTGGTCTGTATGTGGGATCCGAACCCTCGGGCGGGAGCGCCGCCGCGCTTCCCAAGCAGCGCACTTATCCAGTGCACCACCAGGCCGGCCCTCAAATGCTTATTTTTAAAATTTACTAATTTTAGGTGGTCGTAGTTTTATTTATGTGTATGTATATCTATGTACATAACATAGATATATAAAAATTTGTAGTTTGTTTTAATTAATAATGTCATAATTTAAAAATGTAGTCTTTTTTTCACCTCTTGGCTATCTAAAACATACTTCCAAGAATTATTATTGTTATTTAGGGCCTATGAGATATAATCTATTCTTAAATTATGTTTCTACTCAAGATAATTGGGGTATATTTGCTAAGTAATCTTTTTGTCATGCCAGCTCATTTTATACTGTATAGTCTTACAAGGATTTAGTGAATATAATAAATGAAATGATTGAGATATTTAGTATTTTACATTATGTATATTAAACCTTAGGAAATTTTGTTGTCTTTTTGAAATACAATGGTTTGATATAAAAAGTCCTCAAACCTTGGGTGAAGTTTAGTAAACATTTTATATACACATATATGTGTATTTTTTCTGACATTAGTTTTTTAACAGTTAAGATGGCTTAAAGGAAAAAAAGTCACCATTTTTTTCTGTGATTTTATTCTCTTCTAGTTGAGGAAGTGGTTGTGACTTTGCAGCTTGTAGGTGACAAAGAGCCAACAGATACTATAGGAGATTTGTCAATTTGTCTTGATGGGCTGCAGTTAGACTCTGAAGTTGTTACTAATGGTGAAACTACATTTTCAGAAAGTAAGTGATCACTTTTTAAGGTCTTTAATGATTCTTCTTACGTAAAATATGTCATATGTAATTATTGCTGTTATATGCTGCATGTAATTATTGCTGTTCTTTTTCAGATTATAGAAATGATATGATTTCCTTTTTTAAAAACAGACGTAGATCACTTTAAACATTTTCTTTTTAGTACATTGTTTCTGTGAATAGAAAAAATTTATATTTTTCTGTAAGTTGTAAGACTAGCCAAATAAAAGTTGAATCACAGTTGGCCATATGAGTAATGAATTGACTTATAAAGTGTTTATTCTGTAGGCCAATGATGGCAGTTAATATGGCATGTTTGAAGCCACATGCCCTCCAGCACCAATAGCTGATATAGTTTATTGTCTGTAGCAGTGTCTGGTTGAGTTTTAAAATGACTTCAAATCCTTAGTACTGTGTCAGACAGCCAGTACAAGCAGAAATCCACTTGCCATTTCTCTTGCATTTCTGTAGGCTACACTTACAGAGATGTCTTTCGTGTTACTATAATGACAAAACTAATTCATTATATGTATGCTCATCTATCTTGCAATTTATGATTCACTCGTTGCGTTAAAGGGGGACAAACATGAGCCATGATATAAAGAAGCTTCTGGTGGCACCTGAGTTAGTGGCTGCACAGTGGAATGCAGTTTCCAGTGCATTCACATCAGATATTTCCATCACTTACTAATATGCTAAGTCTATTTTAACTTGAAACGTAGATTTCAGAGGCCCCAAGATAAAGAATGAGCGGATTAATGGTTTCCTTGATTAGTCTGACAAAGACCTTTTTGTTTACTTAGAAATTACATTATGAAACACTTTGCAGTTGTCGGGTGCTACTATTCTTCTGTTTCTACTTTGGTGGAAGACTTCCTACTTTTTCTTTAACTCGTGACCTTTTTTTAGTAGCAGGACCTTCAAGATAGTCCTGGTATGTCTTCCAGATTGGTTCCTTGGGGTAGTGAGGGTAGAGAGAAATTTATGAAATGGTTATGCTGCTTCACAATTGACACTTCAGTTGACTACTGTTCACATTTTTCTATATATAAATTGGAAAAATAAAAAAAAAATTAAAAAGGGCTGGTGGTTAGCTCAGTTGGTTAGAGCATGGTGCTGGTAATACCAAGTTCAGGGTTTGATCCCTGTACTGACCAGCTGCCTTCCCCCAAAATTATCTATTCTTCATCTGTGTATATGTCTCTATATACATACATAAATATCTATATCTGCACACAGATATAGATAGATACAGGTATATGTATATAAATCGGAAGTCTGGAAGGTAAAATACAAATTAAATTACACTGTTAAACTGCCCTAATCCTCAGTATATATAACTTTTTAAGGTTTTTTTCCTCTAGAAGTTGAAACTGTCACTAATGCAAAATATTTAATAATTAACAAAAGTAATGCTTGTCAGTCTATATTTCAGAGTAGAATTTAAACTGCATATATATATATGTATATACATATGACTTTACTGTGTTTCCTACAGAAGTAGACATTTCTGTGTCACCAATTTTCCACTCAAGTAGGAAAATAATTGACAGTGAGAATTTAACCTGATACTTTTTGAGGTAAAGAGAGGTTTTAACTGGGAAGTCACAGTGGATTTTAGGTTTGGAGTTACCATATACAGTTCCAGTAGCTGCCATTTGTTGAATGCTAATCATGTGCCAGGCTCTGTGTTGGTGTATTTACATATATTCTTGTTTAACCATCACAACTTTGTAAGGCCTTATCTGCATTTTGCAGGTAAAGGAAGTGAGGTTCTGAGAATTTAAATAGTATTTCTAATACCACAAAAACAGTCAAGATTGAAACATACTTACTTGTTGATACTGTCATTTCTTTTCAATAGGCTGTTGCTTTCACACTTAAAACTCTAGGGACTTTAAATGAAATAACAAGTAATTGTAAGCAAACAAAACCCAGTGCAGCCCACAAGCATTTGTGGTGGGAACTGTACTTGTTCTTTGATTGTCTCCATTTCTGTAACTTTTTATAAACCAGAAATGAAAATTAGAGTTTAGTACTAAAATTGAACTTCTGGCATAGTACATTGTTTGGTTGGATAAGAACTGGGGGGAAATTGCTTTGTATTTTAATGTTTTCTCATGTTACAGATTTTTTTTTGTGTGTGTCTTTTTTGTGACCGGTAAGGGAATTGCAACCCTTGGCTTGGTGTCGTCTGCACCGNTTTTTTTTTTTGTCTTTTTTGTGACCGGTAAGGGAATTGCAACCCTTGGCTTGGTGTCGTCTGCACCGCGCTCAGCCAGTGAGCACACTGGCCATCCCTATATAGGATCCATCCCTATATAGGATCCGAACCCGCGGTGGGAACGCTGCTGCGCTCCCAGCGTTGCACTCTCCCGAGTGCACCACGGGGCCGGCCCTCATGTTACAGATTTTTAGATATCTTTTCCTGACCATGTTCATTCAGAAGTTTTTTGAAATCTGTTCTCATAGACTTTAATATTCTCAAATTATTTTAAAATGTTTATAAAAATAAATCACTATCTGATTTTTAGTATTAAAAGTCAGCAAATAATAACTTCCTGTATGTTTAGATATACTGTGGATTTTTCCTGATGAGATGGCATTATCTCTTTTGGTACTTACACTCAAAATTTTGGTTCTTTTTTGTTGGTGGATACATTTTCTACAAGTGGCAGTTATATAAGTAAACCTTTTCAAGTGAAACAAAATGTGTTCAGCATGTTTTGTTCTTTTTCTTCCCACTTTTCTTCAAGTTTCATTTAAAAACTACAGAACTTTATATCCTCTTCCTCCTCTCCCCCCAGAATGAGGTTAATATCCTATTAGGAATCTCAGTTGTAATGTTTTCTTTGATATTTTTTCTTGTTTCTCTGCCTGAGAAAGTAACTATGTATTTTGTATTATGTGCTGGTATTTTCCTTTACTTAAATACAGAGTTAAGTAGCTTTTATGAGTCTCTAGGAAGAGCGCTTTACTTAATTTGCTATTTAGGTAGACTTATTTTTATAGCCCTCAGATCTGAATTAACAAATCAAGTGTGGGTTCTTGTTCAGATGTTCAAGAGTTCACACAGGAACTTCCCATTCATCTATTTTTACTTGTTTTGGGATGGATTTTTTAGTGGATTGTTAGTTAACAGCTATCTTCCCAAATATGACATCTAAGAAGAAACTGAAAAGTATTATTGTCAAAGACGTTAGTTTTCTTAAAGAGAAAAAAAAATTCATTTTACTTTTAACTTCATAATTATAAAATTAGAGGCATGTTCTTGTAAAGATTTTTATTGTTTACCATGTGCATTCTGGATGTGTTTAAAATTAGGGATAGTTTTTGGAACATGTGACCTCTGGTTTTTATTGTGTATATCTTCTGTTCCTTTTTAATTTTGATTCTTCCTTGCATTAGACTTTTTTTTGTTTTGTTTTTTGTGGTCCCGTTTAATTTTAGGGATAATACTCATTTTCATGTGTGACTATATTGATATTGGTTTTTGTTGGTTTTTTTTTTTTTTTTAACCACTATAATAAATTCTAAGATACTAGCCTGAATTTTTTGCTTGTATTATTTGAAGTCACTGGATCTCAACTGCTCTGGCTACCAACTATTTTATGGAGAGAAACTTTGCTGTAATGGTATTTGACTTACATTCTTACATTGGAACATTTTTCTATGTATACTCAAACTGTTAACTAACTTACCTTCCCAAAAAAGCCAGAAAAACTTCACATTTTTATGTTTTTACCATACTTTACAAGAGCTACTTTAAAAATCAAAGTATTAGGGCTTTTTTTTTTTTTTTTCCTTCTTTACCATACTTTACAAGAGCTACTTTAAAAATCAAAGTATTAGGGCTTTTTTTTTTTTTTTCTTCTTTTTTTCCTTTTTGTCGTGTCCGGCAACGGATCGCAACCCTCAGTGTCGCGCCCGTACCGGACCGGGACCGGCAATGGGATCGTAACCCTCGGTGTTGCGCCCGCACCTCACTCAGCCAGTGAGCGGGAACCGGTCTGTATGTGGGATCCGAACCCTCGGCGGGAGCGCCACCGCGCTCCCAAGCAGCGCACTGTAGCAGTGCGCCACCGGGCCGGCCCCATTAGGGCTTTAATATGGTCATTCTGTCTCTAAAAATTTGTCTTTTCTGGACATTTCGTATAAATGCAGTTGTACAATATGTAGTCTTTTGTATCTGGCTTCTTTCACTCAGCATAATGTTTTTTGCAGTTCATCCATGACAGCATGTTTCAATAGTTTGTTCTTTTTTATTACTGAATAGTTTTCCATTGCATGGTTATACCACATTTTATATATCTATTCAACTGTACCATTTTTAAAATGTATATTTCTAGACTTTGTCAGACACTTGCCAACTTTGCTAAATATGGTATAGTATAGTGATGGCTCAGCATCTTTTTAGTGAATTCATTAAGTATGCTGTTGTGTAACTTAGTGATGATTTCACGGTTTGAAACTATGACTGTATCCAGGAACTATTGATCTTTTATTAAATGGACCTAAACTTTTGAACTTGAGTTCTTGTTTCTGCATTTATAGTTTTTCCTTCTCTTTCTCAGTCTACAATCTGTTTTTGCTGTTATCAGCATGCCTACCTGAGTATACATAGGAAAAAACCCAGCCGTAGTGCTTTTCCTGTACTTTTACTGAGCAACAATCAACACAGAAGACTCTTGTGACCAAATGTGTGGGGCTTTTCCCCTATACACCAAGCAGTTCTGTATCCAGTTGGTACCCTGAAATTCAATTCTAACACCACCTGGAGATCAAGCAATTCTGTATCTAACGTGACCTGAAGAGAGCATCAGATCCCTCAGGTTGAGGGCTCAGTCCCCAAGCTGCCCTCCCCTGCACTTCACGTGCCAATTGCAAGTCCCAGGTTGTTTTACCTGCATTTCTGACTGACCCTATTAAATCCTAGAGATATTTCTCATGAGTAAAATTGGAAGAAGATATGAATGCTGTGTCATTCATTTTGGCCACTTTGAGACCCATCTGTGCCTTTTCTGTTCTTTAAGCTGTTTTCCAGGTCCCTTCATAAGAGAGGTGTTGCTGGTTTTGCTATTTTCAGAATCTATTTTATCATCCTGCTGGTGATCAGCATTTTTTAATGAGGTATATGTGATTTAAAAAAAAAAAAAAAAGATGGCCCACTGGGTTTGAATTATAGTAAATCATACATTTTAAAAAAGGCAGAAGTGGTACACGAGTAATATACCATTGCTAATTACGTCTCTTACATGTAATGATAAGCATTTGCACAAAATTTTGGATTTATGTGAACATTTATCACATTTTCCCTCTTAAAGTCAGGTTGGAGCTTAACTAAGTTATAATATGTTCTTTATTAGAGAGGATTGGCTTACATGGCATGTTTAGAAAAAAAATTGAAAACTACTTGCTTGAAACTCATTTTCTGTTTGAATTTTATTTATGTTAAAGGTGCTTCCCAGAATGATGATGGCTCCAGACCCAAGGATGAAACAAGGTAAGAATTCACTGATTTCTTACCCAGAATCCGGAAAGACACAAGGGAAAATTAATAAAGATTCATTTTAGTCAAAACTTCAAGTTCAGATTGATATAAGAATAAGTGAGTGGGCTGGCTAGACAGCTAAGTTAGTTGGAGTGTGGTGCTGATAATGCCAAGGTCTGGTGTTCAATCTCTGTACCTGCCAGCCACCAAAAAAAGTGAGTGAATGTCAAAAAATTCAGGAGTCAAGGTAAGAAGGGAGATACTCGAAGTACTTGTGAAAGATTGAAGATTCTTAGCTGTCTGACTGTAGCTATCTGGAGTAGGCCAGGGATAACCAAATTATTGATAACTTCCTTCAGTTTATAGAAAGAGAATATAATGGCACCTTTCTAAAGGCTCAGGGAGTTCGAAATCTCAGAGCCATCACTGGGCTGTTAAGCTTTTTTCCCAAGAAAGCTAGGAGAGGAGCTTTAGTGTGTGTGAAGGTCACCACTAGCTATGGTATCTTCTGGGCCTTAATTAGAAAGAGCAGATTTACACCAACTGTTTGCGATTAGCCTAGGTACACTTTCGTGTGCCTGTCTGCCTTCAGGTTTGGGCCTAAAAAGGGTTGAAAGCCTTAGATTGTGTTGATTGACTTAAGAAACTGTTTATTGGATATCCTGGAAACTGATAATGGGAGATAAAATTAGGAAAGGAGATGATTTTACTCTTAAAGCAGTTAAGTGACATGTCTTAAATACAGAGAGCAATGGTTATAAAATCCCATTGGATTCTTTGTTTTTCCCAAATTGGGTGAGTAGCGGGTAGGAAGAATATGATGAACTACAAGAGTAGTCAGGAGAGAAGACCAAGAAAAACAATGTCACAGAACATAAGGGAAAATTATTCAGAAAGATGGAATATTATAGTGTCGATGCTGTAGGGGAAGATAGGTAAAGCAAGCAGAGCAAAATGTTGCTGGTTGTCGAAGCTGGGTTGATAGGAACGTGGGAGTTTGTTGTACTAGTCTATCTATGTTTGTGATATATGGACATTTTCATAATAAAATGTTTTTTAAAAAAGGACAACTCATCAAGATCTTTAGGAAAATCAAAGTTTATAAAGCTGTTGTTTTGCCTGATAGAAATCTGCCTTTACCGAGTCACTCCTGTGACAGAGAATCATCTCTGATACTAGTCACACAAGAGGTAGAATATTAATTAATCATCTCCTATACTAATCACACAAGAGGTAGAATAACTTTTTTTTTTTTTTTTTTTTTGCTGACTTGCTGGTTTGGGGATCTGAACCCTTGATTTTGGTGTTATAACACCATGCTCTAACCAGCTGAGCTAACCAGCTAGTCCCTGTAGTAACTTGTTACCCAGAGAGTAATAACTACTATTAATTCTCACTGTGATTAAAAAGCAATAGAAAAAGTTTTAAAAATTGCATAAATATCTCTATAGACTGGAAGACAATAGATTTCTTGATTCCTGGAATTCCCTCCGTAAAATGTTTTGGTATTTTAGTGTGCTTTGGTCAGTTAACTTCCCTTTGGCATAATAAACCCATATCTTTGCATTAATAAGTAAGTGGGAGTGTGACAGAATTTTATATACTCATTAAATGGTTCTATTATTTGTTTTCTGCAAGTCTCTTTCTTACAATACTCTTATGAAACCTCTTGTACTCTGGACACCTATAAATTTCTTGCAAAGGCATTGCTGGAGCCCCAGATTCATGCCATTTATTTAATCAATGCTTTATATATTCCCAAGTGAAACTGTCATAAGTAATTTGATTAACAGTGTCTTCTAGGTTTGTAAGAGTGCCTGCCAAGTCTTTGAGTGTGCCTTTTGTGTTAAGCATGAATTCTCATGCATTAGCTTTTATTCCAAAGCACATACCTCTGAGATGATGGGTTTAAAAAGCATTTTGTAAACTGTCAAATGTTGTTTAAATGTTACTACACTTATATGTAGTAGTCATGGCCGTGACTTCCTTTTCCCCTTTGTTTTTTTTTTGGCAGGTTTCATAACTCTTAAGTCTAAAAAGCAGGGCAACATATATCCAGTGAACAAGAGCTTCATGCCTCCACCATAGTTATCATTTGGGAAATTAAACAAACAGCCTTAGGTTATTTTACCTTTTTGTCATAATTCAAGCAATATCTGTATCACAAATGTAGCCTTATTGATCTGCATTTCCCATAATATGACTGGATGTTTTATATTTCTCAGTGTTGTCTTCTGTCATTTTTATGAAGTGCCAAGATGATGGTGTTCTAAGCTTTTGTTTTTAGATGTGCCTTTTTGATTGTTACTCTTTGATTTGGATATTTCTTATGACCTTATTGTACTAGCATCTTGGTATTACAGAGTTCTCTAACCTGTTCATAAACAGCTGAGCTTATGTATAGGTCAGATATATATGTATGGTGAAATAAGCAGAGGTTTGTAAGATTGTGGAGGAAAGGAATGAAGCCATAGTAGCACATAATTAGTAGCGAATTGCTTTTCTAAGGTAATGGTGGTGGTGGTTTCACTGACAATTCTATATCATGTTTAGATTTCCAAATTGGTTTTCAAAATTTATTTCCAGTTTTACCTTCACACCTTATTAAAAGAACTTAAACTTAATAAGAGAAATAAAACAAACCACTATTTTTGTACAGCTGTGCTTTTCAAAGTTTAGTGTACATGTTAATTACCTGGAGGATCAGATTAGTGCTTTAGCTTAACCCAAGATCAGAGTAGATTCCAAGTTGATTTTAAATTCATTTCAAAAAATGAAATTATAAAACCTTTAGAAGAAAATATGAAGTTAACTTGTTGCTGAATAAATTTATTTATTTATTTATTTATTTATTTATTTTATTTTTATTTTTTTAAAGATGACTGGTAAGGGGATCTTAACCCTTGACTTGGTGTTGTCATCACCACACTCAGCCAGTGAGCGAACCGGCCATCCCTATATGGGATCCGAACCCGGGGCCTTGGTGTTATCAGCACCGCACTCTACCGAGTGAGCCACGGGCCGGCCCTGAATAAATTTATTTATATAGAAATATAAAACTCTAGTATCTTTAAAAATACAGAGTTAAAAGCAAAGGAAATATTTAACCAGTATGACAGATGATACATGAGTATCCTCAGATTGTAAAGAGCCCTAACAAATAAGGAAAACTAGGTAGGGTTAAGTGCAGTGGTTTTTGCAACTAATTTATTGCAACCAGTTACAGATTTCTTTGTTCCTTCTCCGCTCCCACTGCTTCACTTGACTAGCCTTTAAAAAAAAGACAAATAAAGAAAACTATTCACTTATAATAGAAAAATGTACAAAAAAATACATAAAGTTCATGGAAAAAGAAACTCAAATGGCCTGTAATTATGAAATTTTATTTAGGGCTGGCTGGTTAGCTTAGATCACAGTGTTGTTGACACCAAGGTAAAGGGTTTGGATCCCAGTACTGACGAGCCACCTAAAAAAAAGAAATATTGTTCAACTTCATTAAAGAAAATAACATTTTTATTTACCAAATTGGCAAATATTTTAAAACTTTATGGTAAAATGGGCATTTTTATATCCAGCTGAAGGGAGAACAGATCAATTATGACCTCTAAAAATTTTTTTTGTAACAATTTAGCAGTCACTATTTAATCCTTCAAAATGTTTGCCTGTTTTGACTCAGCTATTTTACTCTAGTAATCTATCTGAAGAAATAAAAAATACAAAAAAATCAATGAAAAGGAAAAATGATTAAATGGTCTGTTCATATGATATTCTGTAGTAATTCAAAATGTTTTTGAATAATTTGGGGGAAATGCCCAGTATATTTGAGTAACAAAACAGAAACCTACCAGAATATGAAACCATTATACAAGTACATTGTATGATCACAGTCGTATCCAGTGAAAAAGGACTGGCAAGAGAGACTCCCATATCTTAGTGGTAATTATTTCCAGGATGTGGGATTGCAGGTAATTTTAATTTTATAATTAGAAGTTAGTTTTTCACTTTGAAAGTGTTTTTTGAAAATTAAGATGCATTAAGTTGGTTGATTGCATAAATACAAAAAAGTATCATGAAGGACAGGGGAATAAGTAAACAGTTTGAAGAACAGTTAAGATTGAGGAAGCATTTTAGGTTGGGGGGATTGATTATGTTTGTGGACTCAGAGGAAGGATCTAGAAGAAGGAATGTGATGAAAATACAAGAGAGGCATTAAATGATGTTGGAAAGTCCTAGAATCGAGGACACATATAGACAAATTCGCCTTCAAGAAATGGAGATTTTTTTCAGACATGGTAAACAGAAGATGGTTAGTGGCACAGAGAAATTTTAAGGTAGGGAAGAAAGTTGAAGGATAGCAGATAATCATCATTTTAGTGGAGGAGAGGAGTCAGGGTCATCTACAGATTGGGATTAGGTATTTGAGGAGATAGAAAAGCTTTGCAGTGGGAGCTGAGAATGTGGCCAGGAGTGAATTAGAGGTGTAAAAAATTATTGATTTCAAAGCAATATGGATAGTCCAATTGAAGTTGTTGAAAAATGTCGACTATAGCCCATATTGTCTCAGTTTCTTTGATGTAATCAGGCTTTGAGAAGTTGAGTACTGCCCATATAGAAACATATAAACTGAAGAAGCATGACTTTAATTTTTTTCTGTCTTTTGCCTGGATATTTATGATCATACAGGACCTAGTAAGAGTTCTTTGTCCTACCAAATTACTATTAATATTTTTGTTACTGTTAATTTTAACATCAGTACACTAATTCCATTGAACCTGAGGTGTTACTACTAGGTTGTCATAGTCATCTGTCATTTCTAATTCCTTAGCTCCCAGGAGACTTGAGCTGTAATTTCTTCTTTTTAACAAGGTGGGGGAAGGGGGATGACTTTTTATCTTGTGAATCACTGGAAGTGAAAACCTCAGAACTTTTTCTTCCTGGGCCCAGTGGAAAATTTATCAGAACCTTTTATAGAACAGTCTGCCCCTTTAAAACACTGCTTAGTTTATTTACTCTACTAAAATACACTCAATTTTTCAACTGGAATATTTTCTAGCATTACTTGTTGGCCCCAGAGAATAGTAGTGGAAAAAGTAGATGAAGGATTAGTTGTAGTGAAAGGATTGCTAGAGGAGGGGTGGTGGGTGGGCAGGAGTGAAAGAATTAAAGGTGCTAGGGAGAGTAGCCTATGATGAAGCCTGAGTGAGATTTGATAGAAGAGGTTGAAGGTCATGATGAGACTGAATGAAAGATACAGTAGAAGACAGAAGGAATAGGAGGTTGTAATTAGAGGGATTTTAGAGTTCAAGATCTAGGAAGAGGAGCAATTCTAAATACCAAGGAAATTTAAGGAGTTGTAGTACACAGGTTGTCAGATTACTACATTGAGAAATTGAGATCAAGATGTTAGCAAGGTTAATAGCGTGGATGTTAAAACTCCCCCAATTTTATTTATTTCTTTATCTTTTGGCGGCTGGCCAGTACTGGGATCCAAACCCTTTACCTTGGTGTGTTACAAGGTGGTGCTCTAACCAACTAACTGGCTAACCCCTTGTCCAAATTTAAAGCCCCTACAACAAAACATAGCATTTTTGGAATCTAGTTTCTTCTGCACCTTTGTCATGGCATATTTACCTCATGCCCTGAATGTTCCTCCTCCTTCACATATTCCTAAAACTTGTTTAGCACTGGATGAGCAATTTAGTATGAATTTTCCAGCTGAAAGGTATTTAGGAACCACATAGTCAAGATAATGAATTTTGAAAGAGACTAAATAACTTTTCTTTGACATAATTTGTCAATGGCAGTCAGAGCTAGAAACCTTAATTTCCCACTTTTGGTTCATTCTACCTATCAGTCATTGTCTATCTTGTTGTCTGTCTTTTAAAAAGCAGCAAGAACTCTTCTTTTAAACTAATTAGTAATCTCTTAAAATAGTATGGAGAGGTAATACTCAGAGTTTCAAAGGGGTATATGATTCAAAATGGGTTTAGAACCTCACTTAGAGGAAGGGGAGCAGTGTCAAAGCTGCCTCTTCTGCATTTGGATCATATTCTGGGGTGGTTTGACCTTCCTGCAGGCAGTCAACAGTAATCAGGTGCAGACTGCCAATTACTGAGGTATTTCCTTTAATCAAAATAAGCATTTGAGGAACCCCACAGCAGTGCTTGTCATACCTTGCTGTCCATACATATCATCTGGGGATCACGTTAAAATGCTAATTCTGATATCGTAAGTCTGAAATGGGTTCCAAGATTGTGCAGTTCTGACAGACTCCTATATGGTACATGAACTTCTGGTCCAAAGACTACACTTTGAGTAAAAAAACCCTAAAGGACTTCTGGGGAATGTAGTTTGAATTATTTTTAAAATATGCTAGCTCTTTGAGGAGATGGATTTGTTCATTAGCTTGACTGGAGTAATCATTTTACTATGTATATGTATATCAAAACATCATTTTGTACACCTTAAATTTGTCACTGCAGTACATGCATTACACGAAAAAAAAGAAAGATTTAATACATGATGCTGCCTCTCTATTTCCTGAATCTGTTAGATTTTTTTTTTTTTTTTTTTTTGGTCTTTTTTCATGTCCGGCAACGGATCGCAACCCTCAGTGTCACGCCCGTACCGGACCGGGACCGGCAACGGGATCGCAACCCTCGGTGTCGCGCTCGCACCTCGCTCAGCCAGTGAGCGGGAACCGGTCTGTATGTGGGATCCGAACCCTCGGCAGGAGCGCCTCTGCGCTCCCAAGCGGTGCACTGTAGCAGTGCGGCTCCGGGCCGGCCCTGAATCTGTTAGATTTTATTTTGTTCGTTCTTGTTCTGAAGATCCAGGAGTATGAGTTAATCCATTTTAGTAATTTGCAAATAGTAGATATCAAGAGTCTTAGTTAAGGGATCTTCAAACTCTACTCATACTCTTGTTTTTAATCCATGACTAGATAGATCCCCTCCAGGAAAAGGAATCAATTATATTTAGCTGACAGTAGTAGTAGAAGCTTTCAATCTGATATTTTCTTCCTCCCTTTCTTTCCCTCCAGTTGATATTATTTTGAAGAAATGACAGCTCCTTAAAAAAATAGGTCTGTGGGCACCTCTACTCTAGATCACAAACTTTGAACATTTTGTATACCATTATACTAGGGTAGGGGCGGTGCCCAGTTCCTGGGAAATACTTGTAAGTGTACTTGCTTGTCCTCGCATGGGTCAGCCAGCCCTGCCTCAAATTTGAATTAATATTAATAGCCAGTGGAAACCAAAAAAGCAATGATGGTGAACTTGTATGTGCTTGTGATAAAGTAGTACCCTTTCTAAGGTATTGGGTTTTTGAGAATGTTTCTTTGCTCCTGCTTATACAGGGCCTTCTGAAGACTTATTTGAAATCTGAACCAGCATACTGAATAGTCCCAAGCATTTCTGTGCCCTTGGGCAAATTCTCACTCTTTCTGTATGTGGATGGGCTCTGGGGGTTATATATGATTCTACCCAAGGGCTCTTTATGTATTTGATAAGGCTGGCCTAAAATTAGGAAGCTTTTCTCGAACTCCTAAAACTTTATGTTTTGGTCTCCCTGCTGATTTTTTCGTCAGTTCAAAGAGCATTCATTCTTGCTTTCCTCTCCTTTCTTTGTCTTCTTACCTAGAATGAACACAAATGGATCAGATGACCCTGAGGATGCAGGGTCTGGTGAAAACAGGAGAGTCAATGGGAGTAATTCTCCGTCACTCTCAAATGGCGGTTTTAAACCTTCTAGGCCTCCGAGACCTTCACGACCACCTCCACCCACCCCACGTAGACCTGGTATGTGTTCCAGCCTTCAGTACTGTGATTGTAAATAATGTTCTCTTTGGGAATTGATCCTCAGGTGTCAGGAGATCCTTTTGTGTAAGTTTTCTGGCTGTATATTTACAGCCAAGAATGATCTTTCTATATAGGTAATCAAGAAGTGCCTCTTCCCTAAATTTTCCTACCGGGGTGAAGTTACTGCGGCAGTGCTCTAGTGAGAATGAAAATCGCATGTGCATTGTATAAAGGATAGACAGTACAGATTTAGATTGCAACTTTCTTGCATGGTTTGTAACATATAAGTATGTCATACGGTCAAGAATTTGGTTGCTCATTACCATTATATGCTTTAAAAGGGCAATTAGTGAGTGGAAAATAACACAATGGTGCTATAAATGATATTCAGATTTTAAAGCAAAAGTTATATATACAACAAATGAAACATATTTTATGTGGTAAAAATGTAAACATCTACAGGTGAAATATCCCTTTTTCTGATTAGCCAGAGCAAATCTTTAATCTTATCTTTTATTATTTCCCTCTGCCAGCAGTTGGACAGGGAATGCAAAGTAGTTAAACCAAATATTATTAGAAAAGTAAATTGGTTGTCCATAAGTCATCTTTTAAAACAAATTTGTATTTAATTATACATCTTCCCCTTATTCTGTAAATAATTGTGTTAATGTATTCCAAGTCTTTAATGCTGTATAAAGGGTCTGCAAAAAGTTCATGGAAAGATTCATATTATCTTTTCACTCAATTTTTCTACGAGCTTTTTGAGGTACCCTTTTTTCTCTCTTTGTCATAATATTGCTGACTTCTTCCAGGAGTTGTTTTGTCAAGTATGTCTTGAAGATGTAATAAGTAATCAATAACTGTTTGTAAGAATATTGCTTATTAGTCAGACCTTCTGTATACATAACCAACAACAAAAATTGGTCTCTAACCTGAAGGGTTTCATAGGAAAGCAGTTTTAAGAATCTGGAAAATTACTAAATGAATTTATAATATCAAGAAATACTAATGCTTTCCTATTCTAAGTTTTTATTTTCTGTGGCATCAGAAAATCAGAATCTGTATGTGCTTTGCAATTAATAATGAGACTGAGCAAAGACCACAGTAGTGTGGTGGTCTTACAGAGGGAGGGAACATTCCTAGGGCTGCAAAGTGGAGTGGGGGGGAGGGTGGTTGGGGGACAATTGGGTGGGGATGCAGGGTATAAAAGCAATTTCTGGTAATTTATATCTCATGAATATTCAAAATAATAAAAAAAATAAATAAGAATAAGGGATGTTTTCAGAAATGTCAAAAATAGTAATAATAATAATGAGACATAGGGTAGATGGGACCCAAGAAGTTGTGAAAAGTCTGTTAAGTGGGAACATTGGCTATTTTTCATTATTTTCTTTAAGTAATTTGTGTATCTACATCTTAAAATTTATATATATCATCTACCTTTTTATTTCTTAAAGTTAAAACTCTATCCTGAATTTAGATTTCAGAGAATAAAAGATTCTTTTCCTATTTTTCCCAAATCTTTTATAGCATCTGTCAATGGTTCACCATCTGCCACTTCTGAAAGTGATGGATCTAGTACAGGCTCTCTACCACCAACAAATACAAATACAAATACATCTGAAGGAGCAGCATCCGGATTAATAATTCCTCTCACTATATCTGGAGGCTCAGGCCCTAGGCCATTAAATCCTATAACTCAAGCTCCCCTCCCACCTGGGTGAGTGACGTTTTTTGGTTAACATTTGTTTTCTTTAGGCTGCTGCATATATTCATTAATAAGAGAAATAATACTGAACTTTATTCTTTCAATAACAGTCTTCACAAAATTGTAACTGATTTTTAGGGGGTCTGGAGTCAAACCAAACAAAGAAAGCTCACCACATTTGAAATTTCCCATCTCATTTCCAGGGCAAAGTCGAAGAATATATTTTTTTATTGAAGGACTCTGAGCTATGGTTAACCAAGGCCAAGTAGTGAAATAGTCACCTAATTCAGATTGCTTTTATTGGAGGGGGAGAAATCCCTTTTTAGAATCAATAATTTTTTCCATCATAATGTCATTATAGCAATGTAACAGATAGTTTAGGAAACTGAGAAAATTAGTACTTACAATCCCATTTTAATTTCTACCGTTTATTTTAAAAATTATACTTTTCAGTATAGTTGTTATACATATATACATTGTGGCATTTAACTCAGAATGCTGATCAAAATTAATTGGCTGATAAATTAATAAACTCTCATGATGAGAATTTTAATTGATACAAGGATTATATTATTTGTGTTGGTAGTCAGGCTATTTTCCTTTTGGAAAGCCTACATGGGAAGCCAAATTAGAAGGTTGTTTGTGCAAAGGATTAGCACAAAGAAACTGAATGCTCTTGGAAGTCATTGGTACTTCCATGCTATGATAGTTTACTCCTATTTTCTTCAATTTGGGGATAAACCTGCCAAGGACAAAGAATACTCAGATTGGCGAATCTGCACACTTTCTCCTTTCTACTGTACAGGGACACGTGATAAAGGCTTATTCTTTGATTTCAATTTTTCTAGAATCCAAACAGGCCATTGCCTTTGGATTAGTTCAGCCTTTTTTCAGGTTTTATAACATTAATTATAGCATTCTTTTCTTTTTTTTTTTTTAAAGATGACCGGTAAGGGGATCTTAACCCTTGACTTGGTGCCGTCAGCACCACGCTCAGCCAGTGAGTGAACCAGCTATCCCTACGTGGGATCCGAACCCGGGGCCTTGGCGCTATCAGCACCGCACTCTCCTGAGTGAGCCACGGGCTGGCCTATAGCATTCTTTTCTACTCAAGTCCTAAATATACCCTGAGTAGATTGAGAGTGACTTTCGTCTCTCAGTGAGTGAACCAGCTATCCCTACGTGGGATCCGAACCCGGGGCCTTGGCGCTATCAGCACTGCACTCTCCTGAGTGAGCCACGGGCCGGCCTATAGCATTCTTTTCTACTCAAGTCCTAAATATACCCTGAGTAGATTGAGAGTGACTTTCGTCTCCTAGGTGGACTGACGTCAAGCCTCTGTAGGAATACAATTTGTCTCCTAGAGAGGACATTTGCATAGAAGAAATCTCATCCACTGTGTGTCATCTTCAGAAGATGATATTTCTTGACTTTTTTCTTAAATTCTGTTGGTATTACTTTATAAACTGACACGCTTATTTGCCTCAGTTCTATAACATGGTCATTTAACGGAAAAAGGCAGCGACAAGATTAAGGCGGGTTGACAACATGGGACGTATTTATTATGTTGACCATTTCACAAGAACAACAACATGGCAGAGGCCAACGCTGGAATCCGTCCGGAACTATGAACAGTGGCAGCTACAACGTAGTCAACTTCAAGGAGCAATGCAGCAGTTTAACCAGCGATTCATTTATGGGGTGAGCAGCCTGTTATATAATAAACTTATAAGAATATTCAGTTTTTAACCCTTTCCTGCATATGTCATTAAAGCACTAAAATGAAGGTATGAGTAGGATGGCAACCCAGTTGTTGCTGTTAATAGGTATTATTTTCAGACTTTGTCTGGAATATTCTGTGTATGTGATCTATTCTTTCCTTTCTGTAATATCCCAAAGTCCAACCTCCTTTTCTTTTCTTTTCTTTTTTTAATTTTTTTCCTTTTTGTCTTTTTTCGTGACTGGTAACGGGATCGCAACCCTCAGTTTCGCGCCCGTACCGCGACTGGCAACGGGATTGCAGCCCTCAGTGTTGCGCCCGCACTGCGCTCAACCAGTGAGCGGACCGGTCTCCATATGGGATCCGAACCCTCGGCAGGAGCGCAGCCACGCTTCCAAGCGCCACACTCTACAGAGTGCGCCACCAGGCCAGCCCCAACCGCCTTTTCTTTTTAATGAAAAAAATTAAAAAGAAGTGAAGACAACTTAAGATTCATGAACAAAAGAATTGTAAAAATAAACCCAAGTAGTTTGAAAAGAATTAAAGCAATTATAAATTTAGTACTTCCTTAATTTAGCAGAGCATTTGAAGACTTAGGTCTAAAGGAACCTGACTCTTGGGCCAAGCCCGTGGCGCACTCGGGAGAGTGCGGCGCTGGGGCAGCAGCGCTCCCGCCACGGGTTCGGATCCTATATAGGGATGACCGGTGGGCTCACAGCACTCACTGGCTGAGTGCGGTGCAGCCGGTCTCAAAAAGGACAAAAAAAATAAAAAATAAAAAATCAATAAAGGAACCTGACTCTTAAGTGATTGTACAGAACTAATGATAGAGTTGAATCACTTTTTAACATTTAAAAGTAAAGTTAACCTAATAAATTATTTGGTAATCTGGGAGACTGAAGAAATTTTATTCCTTATAGGATTATGCTAAATATATTATTCTGGCTTTAGAACTATATTATCTTTGGTATAAAAACATGTGTTTTGGGGGCGTCAAAAATGGTTTACATTTTACATACTTTACAGTAGTATTGCAGCAGTAGTGATACATACACTAAAATATATTAATGCTTTCTTTGCTACGCAATCTTTGGTACTTGGAATTTCATAATCTTTCAAGTAATAAAGTATCACAGATCTCTTCTCTAAACAAAGGGAAATAGTCCTTTGAGAAATTTACTTCTCTGTGCCAAACAAGATGGATTTGAGTAATATACAGAACAGGAGAAAACCAACTCTCCAAGAGTTAAGAAAAAGTGGCCCTCTCCATCACTATGTCTTCCCCTCCACTGGTGTCATCCCTATTAGAATCTATCAGAGTAAAACAACACCATTCATATTCTTATCCTCACTAAGCATTACCTTTTTTCCTTTTCTCCATATTCCTGCTTCTTGAACCTCATCATTATAGTGCTTATCAGTCACTGATGCCGCCAAATTCACCTTTATCAGCAGCCTTCCTTTCACTCCCTGATTGTATGACTAAGATACCTTTCTTTCACATAACAGTTTCTCCTGCCAATTTCTCTAGAAAGATATCACTATATTCCCATTGCGAGTGGTTTTAGAGGTAAAATTAATTTTTGTCTCTTGCCTGCATTACCCTTCTTTTTATTTTTATTTTTTCTGTGCTGTTTTATATCTTCCTTTCTTTCTAAATTATAATTACCTTTGGTATGCCTGGCCAAATTTTTTCTGGGTTTGAATGCCTAGCTTGCCTGCCTTCTTTAAAACTAGTTTCCACATGGGTGTCCAGTGAAAACACAGTGGGCTTTGGAGTCAGGCACATCTGGATTCGAATCCTGGTTCCACAGTTACTTTCTGTATATGACTTTGAGTAAGTGACTTAAACTCATCAAGACTCATTTACTTTATAAAATACATATACATACATATATATACACACACACACATACATACATACACACAGCTGCCTCAGAGGGTTTTTTGGAGGATTCTATAAAGTTCCTAATGTTTGGCACATACTAGATATTTAGAACTGTTAGTTCACATCTCTTTTCTCCCTCATATCCACAACTGTAAATGTACTCTTTATCTCAATTTCTGGAACACCTACTATGTGTAATGATTCATTGTAAAATTGTTTAGTACTCAGTCTTTGGAACTTATTTTTGAATTACAGCTTTTATCTCATTATCTGTGTTCTTTTTTTTCTCCAATCCAAAATAATCTGAACGATGTTCTGAAATTCTTACTCTTTGTTCTTATTAGAGCAGTTCTAAATTACATAGAATTTAAACAGCCTATTTTAGTTACACTTAACATTACCAAAAATTGTGAACTGCAGTGAATGAATTTAACATTAATACCATCTACTTAAAAAGCAGAGGCTGAGAAAAAGTCTGTTTATTTAGTATATGAAGTGGTCTCTGCCAACCACTGTTGTTCTCACTGTGGTTGCAAGGCAATAGACTCTCATATATCCAGCATTTTTAATCTCAGAATGGATAGGATTGTTGATGAAACACTGTGTAATGGCTCTTCCTGGCCGGTGGCTTCACTGTGCATGTCCCTCGTTCATCTGTCCAGGGAAAGCCAGTGGAGTAGGCTTGGGTCTTAAAGAATGATGAAAACAGTTTCTTATGCCAAACTTCTCAGACCTGATTTACAACTCCAGCTCAAACCATGTATAGTGTTTCTCCCTGGCCTCCCTACTCTCACTCGTTTTCATAATTGTGTTTATCAGGAGCAAGGCCATTTCTTGATAGCTCTATCTTCCAAGAGCATTTAAATCAGAAGTGGAATCTCTCTCATATCCTTTAAAACCAGTCAGTTAACCTGGTTTCTGTAATAGGTCAGTGACATGGGGGAAAAAAGTAACAAAAGAGACAGTAGTGGAACTGCTCTAGATTGAGATGTGAGACTCAACCAAATGTAATGTGAGGACTTTGCTTATTAAAATCAGGATCCAAACAATCAGGCATTTAATTACAGGTTAGGTATTAGATGATAACAAAGTTAACATTGCTTCTTTGCTAGGTGTGATAAGATATTATGATTATGTAAGAAAATTGTCCACAAATTCTAAAGAGGCAAAAATGTAGGGGTGAAATGATGTTTGATTTTTAATTCAGCAAAGAAGAAGAAAAGAGGTAGATAAAGAAGTGTGGCAAAATGTCAATAATTGTTGAATCTTGGTGCCAGTTATATGGGGTTCATTGTCATGTTTTACTTTTTTGTTTTCTATAATAAAATTATTTTTTATAATAAATATTTAAATATTTTTCTATAATAAAAGCAGTTAGATTCTCTTGTTTGTTTAGTTGTCTTACTAAAAAAGAAAGGGCTCAACCAAGACTTAATGAGTAACCGCGTACTTATCTCTGCTTTATTAACCACAGCAAAACATACTCATTAACCCTACACAGAGTCACTATGACTTGTGCTTCTTTTTTTCTAAAGGTTGACTCTTGCTTTCCTTTTATCTTATCTAGTCAAACCTTTCTCTTCATCAGTGTGATAATTGCAAACAGAACTTTAAGAAGTCTTTCATACAGTTCTAGGTCCATTAATACCTTCCATATGGAACACTTTCCTTTTACTCATCTGACAGCCTGCTCTGTCTGCTCCCTCAACACCATTTTCACAATTCTTTGTATATCCCATGTTCTGTATGTGATCTGTTTTCAAGTTACACATGCAAGACTTTTCTCAGCTATCATATATTTGTCTAATTTTTATAGTACTGATGTAGTAAAATTTGTAGCAAAAAGGAAAAAATGGTCATTTTGGGGGTGAGGATTATATATTTGTGTAATATTTTAATTTCAAATAATTGTAAATGTTAAATAATGTTTGTAAAGGGTTTTTTTTTTTTTTTTTAACTTCACCAAAGTATATTGGCATTTGTCTATAACCATGCGACACTTCTCTAAGATGTGAACTCGGTAAGAGTGTGTTATGTTATACATGGCCGGGGATGGTATATCAGAACTCTATGCTTGCTCTCCAATAATCTGTTTTAAGTTGTTAATTTATTTTACCACTTTTTGGTTCTTTTTAGAATCAAGATTTGTTTGCTACATCACAAAATAAAGAATTTGATCCCCTTGGTCCTTTGCCACCTGGATGGGGTAAGTCACATTAGTTTTCTCATCAAATTCTGTTATTTTAAAAATTAGGCATTTGTGGGATGATATTCTGCTCTTGCTTGAGTGAATGTCTGAGAAATTTTTGGGGTGTGTTAGTTTAACTCTGGAGTGCCAAATAGGCATTAAATTCCCCAAATATTCTAAGTTGACTCTTTGATTACAATAAACTTTTATTGGAATTCATAGTTATTTTACTCTTATATTTAAGAATATTGATCACTCAGCAATAAAAAAGGAATGGACTATTGATATACACAACAATCTGGATGGACCTCAGGGGCATTATGCTTAGTGAAGAAAGTCAGTCTCAAAAGGTTATATACTGTGTTATTCAATTTATATAATATTCTCAAAATGACAAAACTAGAGATGGAGACAGATTAGTAGTTGTCAGGAGACAGGGTAGGTGGAAGGTGGGTACAAATACAAGAGGTAATATAAGGGGGTTCTTATGTGATGATGAAACAGTTCTATATCTTGATTGTGGTGGTGATTACATGAATCTATACATGGGATAAAAGAGCATAGAACTATACATTCACGTAAATGAATTCAGCTTTAAAAAGTGGTGAAAAGTGAACAGGGTCTTTAGTTAATAGTAAAGTAGCATTGTCAGTTTCCTGATTTTGGTATTTTACTATAACTATATAAGATGTCACCATTAGAAGAAACTGGTTGAAGCATACTTGAGACTCTGTACAATTTTTACGACATCTTGTAAGTAATAATTATTTCAAAAATAAAAAGCTTTAAAAATATTGTAATCACATTGGCTCTTCTAAAACAAGTTCAGAGTTTGGTTGAGTTGGCATTACCTAAAAGAACAGTATAAGGAGAACATGAGAGAGTGGCAGTTTGGTGCTCTACACTGTGGAGCACATGAGTATGTTGTTATTGGATACATTTGGTATCTTAGTTATTAAAACTTTGTTAACAGACTTTAAGATGGGCCTACCTTACCAGGTTCTGTTTTATAGTGTTATGTAATAGTCATAACACTCTAGTAAGGCTCCAGAATAAAGATGGCAATATTGAAACAGTTTTGCATGGAAGCAAAAGAGAATATAGAGGACCGGCCTGGTGGCACACTCGGTAGAGTGCAGCGCTTGGGAGCGCAGCGGCGCTCCCGTCAAGGGTTCGGATCCCATATGGAGACCGGTCCGCTCACTGGTTGAGCGCGGTGCGGGCGCGACACCAAGGGTTGCGATCCCGTTGCCGGTTGCAGTACGGGCACAACACTGAGGGTTGCGATCCCGTTACTGGTCATGAAAAAAGACAAAAAGGAAAAAAAAAAAAAGAGAATATAGAAAATGCAAAACAGCAAAGCCAAGCCAGTTATGGAATCAGGTGGAGTTTTATCTTAGAGTTACACATATTTCATAATATTGGTGTAAATTCAGAAAGTGACATTTCTAGAGAGTCATGTTGGAAAACATTGGTCCCCAAGATAGATTGCTCTAGCACTACTGAGTAATGGAGGAAAAAATTGACATGTCAAGATCACATGAATCTGGGCAATAAATGATATTGGCTGTATAAGCCTTTGTCTGAGAAATCCCATTGCTCTTTTATTAAAGTTATTTATCCTCAAAATATTCCTGTGAGTCAAAACAGTAAAGAAAAAATAAAAAACATGTATTAGGCCATACTTATAACTGTTATTGTTACTAGCTTGTAACAAAGGGAGGATATAAGAAAATTGTGAATTTCTGTCTTCAACATAGGCTGGCAGTTGGGAGGTAAGGAGTCTTCTGGCTCTATTGGAGCCCCAGAGTGGTTAGTGTATGGTTGGTATAAAGTACTTTAGAAGAGGGGATGTTGCCCTTATGTTGCAAATTGAACCTGACCTCTTAGATTGCATTCTCTGATGTGGATGGCTTTCCCAGCTTTATTTCTAAAGTTGTTGTACAAGGGTACTTCAAAAAGTTTGTGGATAGATTTGTATTATTTTTCAATTCTATTTTTTCAGGAACTTTTTGAAGTACCCTCATATGTCTGTGTAACAGAGGGAGAAATTGAAGCACTAAAGTGATATATTTGAAGGTCTTGTATTTATCCTCTTAATTTTATCGCAGAAAAACTGTGACCATTTTACTCCTTCTCTGGAGTAGCTGTAGGAAAAAAATGCCTCTTGCTCATAGAAATCTGAATTGTGGGCTATTAGAAAAGTTTTTCCTGCAAGCTGGTCCTTGCTTTCTGTATTTATCATTTTCCTCATCATCTAGATCTTTGTCATTTTTACTTTAGCCAACATCACTTTCCTAAAATACTGACTCTAAAGACCTAGTTTATCCAGGTTATTAGCTTCTTGCCCTGCTGTTTTATAGTCTGTGTATTTTTAGGTTTCACATTCCTGAAGTTGAAGTGGTGCCTTCTTCCAAAATGAGTTCATGATTATCCTACTCCTCGAGCTGAGCTCTGCTTTATGACTCTTGGCCTTCAGGGCATATGCCTTATTTGTGGAACCAGTGATAATACTGGTACTGTATCAGATGAAGAGAATCACCCCTCAAGATTGACCCAGGAAATAGAATCCCAGCTGACAGCCTGTGTTTTCATTTGGAGATTGACAGCATTATTTTTGTGACTCTGTATATATTTAATTCCAACTTCATCACTCTTTCAGATTGTTATATGTTAAGACTAGACCACCTTATAAGCTTATAAAACCACCTTAATAAACTGACAGTGAAGAATTTTTTTTTTTTTTGTCTTTTTGTCTTTTTACCCGTGTCCAGCAACGGATCGCAACCCTCAGTGTTGCCCCCGTACCGGACCGGGGACCGGC